GAATCCAATAAAAATGAAATAAGGGCCATAAAATGTTTCTCGCTCGCTTTTCGTATCACTTTCAAATTGATTTATTTTCGAAATGGGAAAAATGATGTCATTTGTATTCCATGTACCAACGTTCATTTCCACACAAAAGTCATCACGTTCGGTGTATTCAAAATTGACTTTAAATTCGAAAGACCTTGTCATCTTTGTCTCGAAATCACAATTACAATTAAATTGGATTTTGAAATCGTTGCATCGATTTCCATGAACCATACCGCTTTGAGTTTTAATCAAGTCGTTGAAAGTATCGATCGGTCAGTCTCTGTTCCGAATATATAAGAAACATGCATAACAGCACAACTGCATAGTTAATCAAAAACGTGTCCGCTCACAGTCTACAACTAAATGTGTGGGTCGTGCCTTCACAATGAGTCGCCGGCCAATTCGTGACATATCATTGCAATGAGCTCAAAAATAAAAATTGTTTGTTCCTTTATTCATCATTTATATATGTTTTGTCTTCGTGCATCATCTGCAATCCACAGTGGCTGCGTTGAAGTAGTCGCTTAAGTCTGAGTAGTCATTTTTTCGTCGAACCCCATTCAACGGCCAAATCATCGATCGGAATGATGTACGACGGAATATATGAATTTTCTGAAGCAACGACGACAATGGATCCACACTAAAATGAAATTCATCTAACGCATAGTTGGTTACCGTCGACTGCCACTGAATCGAAAATTCATGCACACGTTTATCATGTGTGTTTGTTTATGCGCCTGTGGAAATGTGCGGAGAATCGCAGTGGCTTAGTTTTGTGGACGCGTTTGGCGACATCCTCCAAAACGATTTGAAACAGAAAAATTGAAGAAAAAGTTAGCATTCTAAAATAAAATTACCTTAAAAGTGAAATATTATCTCCGCAAAATAAGTCTCTGCAGTAGTAAAAGCATTGGAGCAGTATAACACATGTGTATAGATTATTTTCAAGTTTAGGATTAATTGAATCAATCATTATTATGACTACTACTATCAAGCATTTCGATCTTGGTTGTATGACTGTGTTTTTGTTTCCATGTCCTACTTGTGTAAATGCTGAAAAGATTACGAAAAGAGCCAGGTTTTTAACGAGGCGAGAACTGATAGTTATTGTTATTATAAATCATTGTAAACAAATACAAATTGATGTAACAGTCTTGCACTCTTTTCCGGCCACACCTCTATTCATTACAATATATTCAGCCAGAGCTTGGCGGTGTTAAATAAATAAAAAAAAATAAAATTATCATGGATTACACTGAATAAAGGATTAAGACTGTGATTGCTTCTAATCACATGCCAATTGCCTAATTCAATTTATTTTTCAATCATCTTTTGGAACTGGGTACAACTTTTGATAAGAATAGCCCACCTTTTTTTGCGTCATGTACGCCACTGAACGAGCGTGTGTGTTGAAAGTCATTTTACTGAACGAAATTTCACTATAAGTTTAATCGACCGACACATAATCTTTGCCAGCAGTTTTTATCGCATTCATTGCTTACACACATACCACCCATCTTCTTTTGCTCGCTCACATTGCCGTCTTTTCATTGCGCTGTACCACCGATGCTCGGGCTTATGAATGGATAAATAAAATGAATGTCAACGAATTATTTATGCATGCATATGAAAAGCACCAGCGCAAGTAAAAGTGAAGCCAAATCGACAAAAAGTACTATTGAGAGTGAGAAAAATAGCGACGGTAGAAGGACAGAGTCGACACTGCAAATATGCAGAAAAAAAAGAATGGTAGATATTCTTCCGGGTGTGGGTGCGCTTGCATATAAAGGTGTATTACGAATGAGGGGCCGACGCGTTCGTTCATGTAATTGCGTACAGCGAAAGAAAGAGAGAGAGAGAGAGAGAGAGAGCGAGTTCAAATGTGTGGTTTTCTGTGCATCAGTTGTCGACATAGGATCGTTTTTTTTTTCAATTTTCAGCATTGCCCGTTGTTGCTACTGTAGCCCGTGTTTTGTTAAATATTGCATGTTTATGCACTTGACGATTTCGTGCTTGGAAATGGAATATCTGCATTTGCATTTTATTAATCGTTTTGTGATTGAGCGACGAGCACGAGTTTTTCAAACAATATCACACACACACACACACACACACACAGTAAAGGGAAAGAGAGGAGAGGATGGAGAGAGAAACACAAACACACACACACATAATGGATCTCTCAAAATAGTGATACACAAATATTTCCAATACCACCATCAAAAATGGGCATTCGATGCGATCGCAAAATAATGACATCCATAAATAATCCAACAAATTTACACATCAGCCAAATACACATATTCCTTCTTTGATAGCTGGCACAGCAAGCATCGCCGGCAAAAAATTGGTACCTTGCGTAATTATGCCTCTTTTTTATCAATAAAATAGTAAGAAATTTAATTGATACGCGAATAACATACAATTTACATTTTTGCCACATCAAATATTCATTTATTTAATGCTTATTGAAACGGTTTCATTGTTGAATTAAATTTATATATTCAAATTTAATGATCACGCAGTTCAGTTCTTTTTTTTTTTGTCAGCAAATTGGACTCATTTTTCGAAAAAGGTTTCTGCAATTACTGTTCAGCCGTTTGCAACAAAAAAAATCGCACCGACTACTTATGCAGATGCACTTTCTGTATTAATATGCATGCTCGAGAAACCATATAGAAAGCCGAAAACGATAAAAGCAATAAAATCATCATTTGCTACGCAAACATCAACTAACCGTGTTTCGCTTCATTGAATCGGATTGAAGTTCAAATATTCAGGTTCTCAGATTATTGCCCCCCCCCCAGTGTCAATCAGTTGGGCCAATTTGAATTGAAAATCAATAATTTGGGTGCATTATTTTATGTAATTATGCAATTATGGGGAAATAAAGTACAACAACGAAAGAAAACACGTTTTCGGTTTGTTTTTGAATTAATTTTATTATCTCGTTTTTCTTTGGTAATCTTAAATTTGTTTGATCTCCCAAAATTCAATCCAAAATTGTCAGTTTGACCGCAGTGTCGTTCTTTTTCGTTCTACTGAGTTCGATTTTAGTGACATATTCCCCGTTTAGCTCCAAATATATGAGTAGTTTGGAGCGAAAATGTAATACAGAAAAGTTGAGAGGAAAAATGTCAAATGAAAAGAGATAGCTATATAGTTCACTATAGTTTACTATACAGTATACTATATAGCTATCCTTTTTCCGCTCATTCATCATCGACATTTTTCCGCGCAACTTTTCTGTTTTACATTTTCGCTCCAAACTACTCATATATGAGGGCCTGGGAGTAAAAGTGACCAACAAAAAGTTTAGCATAAAAGTGACCTAACTTCATACAAAACATATGCTACCGTCACGCTGTTTTGTATGGAGTTGGGTTACTTTTAGGCTCAACTTTTTGTTGGTCACTTTCACTCTCAGGCCCTCATATGCTCATAACACTGTAGTAACATTTACAGTTTTTGAAATGAACGATTGTACACATGAATTTCAAATTTTAGTAGGAGACGAATGTAGTTGAACCTCATATTTCGTTTTGGTAAGTTGGTGGATTGATATCAATAATGACCCTTTTATAACTGTTTATCACAAAGTAAACACAATGATTCTAGCAATGTTGGGATTTTACACTTAACTTTGTTTTAGTACCATTTGCTCTAGCAAAATAAATACATGAAGCTTTAATTTGTGATTTAGTACATTTTACAATGAGGTTCAACTACATTCGTCCCCTACTAAAATCTGAAATTCATGTGTAGAATCGTTCATTTTTTTGATACTACAGTGTAATATAATAATAATTAATAATAATTTTTGTTTGGGAATATCATGACTTTTCATCATTATCTATGTATATATATATATATATATATATATATATATATATTTTGTATTATTACATTTTGACTAAAACATACTTACGGACCTAGAAAAATGTTACATTAAAAATAATTAACCATCTTGTTGTGTGTTTAATGTAAAGATTTCTATATTATTATTTTTTTGTCTCTTTCTTTCTGTACGGTTTATTTTCTGCTGCATCTTTGTACATAAACAGACAATGTTGCCGATAGTTTGTCATGTAATGTATATTAAGATGAGGCTGAAACAAATGTTTCACGAAAGTAATTAAAGGTCAAAAGCTCTTAGCGTTTTCCACTTGAGTTTAGCCGAAGGAAGAAAAATTTGATTGTATTTATGTTTGTATTCATTTCGTTTGTTTGGTTTGGTTTGGTTTGTTATTTCTTTGGTTAAATATTTGATAACTTATGATATTAATTATTTCTGGGGTTCGTAGATATGTAATACAATAAATATAGGAGTTCCATTATTATTTAATAATATTAGAGAACCGTATTAACGTTGTTTTTTTCGTAACTATCGCTGAAACAGAGAAATAATATTTCAAATCGGTCTGAATGGATACATAAAAAGCAAACACTCGATGGAAAGTCTCAAATGGTGCAACGAAAGTAATAGGGTAATGGTATTGTTTTTCACTCAAGAATCAGCAAATACAACATCATTATACTAACACGACGAGCGATCCTATCAGTGTGTATGTGTGTGCTTGACGCATGGATTGTTTCAGTTTTGAACGGCAGACAGATTGAAATTTTATAACATATTCGCTTTAATATAGAGAGTTTAAATGCTTGCGGTTCTATTTTTTTTAATGAGCAGATTGATGTTATTGATGTTGCATTGCATCTGCATTATTGGATAATGAATACTGGAAAAAGCCCAGCAACTTTTTGGAAAATAAAAGCATACATTTTGTTGTAGTACAATCCAAAGCGAACTTTTCCAGTCGCCCACAACATCCTAGTTGAGAAATAAGAGAAGGGGGAATGGATGGAAGATTGAATGGAAGAAGCAGATATTGTGACTATGAACTCTGAAAATGTTGCAACACCGATGATTTTATACGTCTTTATTTTTATTCCCACTAACTTTGTACAGTCAAACCTCGATGGACTTGATTCGAAAATCGTTTGTCAATGTTGCGTTCGATAGTGACTTCTGATTGTGGATTTGTTTAGCCGCACAGCGAATATATTGCCAAAAATCACTTGATTCTTGGTTTTCAGTCATGATCAGTTTTTTTTCCTTCAAGAAACTGCAATTTAACTGTAACCTCGTGATTTACTATATTTGTAGTTGTTCGTCTGAACATTATCTAGTGCTGATAAAACCAAGATGAATTGGAAAATAAAGGGCGAAGTAAATCGAGAGAGAGAGAGAGTTTCATTTATATGTAACAAATTTAATTTCGAATACTCCATTAAAATGAACGAATATTTGAGAATATAATATATAAAAATAACAATGATAGCAACAGCAACATTTTTATACCAGTTGGAAGAAATCAAGCTGCGAAGCAATGCGAATAACTATTGTATAATCTTTTATTCAGTTGAAATGATCACAAAACACATGGAAAGGAAACGGTTGTAGATATGGATGAAAAGGCCGAATGTCGGTCAGTTGGTCACGTTTGCGAGGTTATGTCTACAAAGCATATGTGCGTTGGATGTTGTTTGATAAAGCTGTACTAACATACTCTCGAGTCGCACTTATCACGAATCACCGAAAGTCGAGTTCATTTAGTCTAGGCAATGAAAAATGTGGCAACACACAACGCATCGAAAGAAATATGGTTTCGGAACAGTAGGGAAAAATCGCAAAGAATATGGAACACCACGGGAAGAACATAAGTTCATATGCGACTTTCTTTGTTTGTCTAGATCAAAGTAAGGTCTTAGTAATATTTGTCGCCCGTGTGTTAACAATGTCAAACATAGCCACTGCACTTCTTTCTCTTTCATTTTCTCCATTCGCTCTCTCAGAACATTGCACATAGACTCTCCGTTTTCTCCTCAATATATATTCAACGAAAAATATAGAGCACTGCATGTTACAACTTAAAACTCCATAAGATGATTCCCACTCATTTTTCAATGAATTCCCTTTTGGTTTAGCAACGGCTTGCGGCTACATCACTTTCTATCAACCGTCAAGCCATAAAGACAAAAGCCAGGAAATAGATAAAAGTAGAGAACAAGAAAAAAGGAACCGAAGAGGCTTAAAGGTGATATATACTTTGGCGTAGAAACCAAAAGAAATATTCAATACCTATTCTATTTTTGAACTCTTCTTTTTTTTTGAATAAATGAAGCTTCGGTCACGATATGGTTGATTTGTTTTACAATTTATTTTATACAACAATCGGATCGAAAACCACACTGGAAAATACTTTATGAATACAATACTTCTGAATTAAACTATTAAATGAGTGCGAGAATCTTTGGAACAATATTTTGGATAAAAATGGTTTAATTGCATTGATTAGAATGAACTGTGAATGTGATGCAGTCATGTGAATGCGTGATATAGGGATTTCATGGCTTTTTTGTTCATGTTTTTGACTATAATTCCATTATGTTACATTTATAACCTAGTCTTTTCAATATAGATCATAGTTTGTGGCTGATTCTTGTTGCAATAATAAAAGGTATTTTATGAATTAAAACGTTCAATCGGAAAATTCAGAAGCTCAGCATTTGATATTGACGATATTTAATCGCACGTGTTCAGCAAAATTTGTCTGTCAACAAGGTGCATTTGTTAGATATGAGTTTGAAAAAAAAATAAAAAAAATTAGAATGGTTTTAGGCAAATTCAAACCTGATATATATTTTTTGGGTTGTAATATAATATACGAATCGTTATGGATCAGTTGAAGTAAAAATGTGTCGTTTCATTCGGAAAAAAGGATTCGGAAAACAAAAGTTTGTCGGCGCTTATCATTGTGTTCAGTAACGATAGATTCCTTACGCTTTAATTTCCTTTGCATGAAAATAACCTAACTTCCCGAGCTTTACAATTTTATATGCTTTTCGTTATAAGATATTAAGTTAGAATATAAATAATGTTGGGCATATCAGGTATTGAAGTTACAGTAGAAATGATAAACATAGTATTGTTATTGATTATTTACGCTACATTATGCAGTATAGTACATTAAGGTCAAGGTGTGCATGTCTTGTAACTTGGCGCGTATTCGAACAACACAAATTTCAATGCATCGGCTGTGTCTATGTTTTCATATAGCGTCTAGCCCAACAGAGTACACGGACAACACTTAATGCACACAAATTATATTTAAATGATTTCTTCTGGAAGCCCAATACCTGATGCATGTAAATTGTGACTAAATTAATCCATCTAGCACTTGGGTTGTCGCGATGGCGGAAAGTCAAAAAATCTGATGCTCGAAAATCGATCGATTCCATTCAAACTGACTGAATTTTGGTTTCTGTTTTATACCATAAACCGAAGACATATTTGATTTTCATACTAATTGTCTATCAATCCTATAATACATTGTTGTATTTTCTTTGTTTTATGGGGCCAGAGTATATGCGTTAAAAATATTGTGTAAGTGAATCGAATAAATACTCACAAAAGTCATTAAACGCTTCATAAAATTTACACTTGATTTATTGTTTCGTCCCATTTGATTTGTTGTCGTACATCGATGCCAATGATGGTTGCAAAATTGGTTGACCCAATGTAATTCTATTGTGATGCAATTGTTCCACTGGCAATAGAAATGGCTAGCGGATTGGCAATGATGCCCAACGAAGTGTTTGTCGAACCAGATGGTGGCTCCTGTGTAACAATGAAAGAAGTTTATAAAAGGTGATTATTTTCCCTGCAACAACACCGATAAATGGCGACTTATGGTCGTAAAAAAGTGATTATAACTATCATTATTATGAACTACTTACAATACTCAATGCCCGCATGATACACGACTGTGACTGATCTGGTGATGGTGAATCGAGCTCTGGTCGGTCGGGCCTTGGTGAACTGTTCGGAGTTGATGCTGACGAACTATGGAATTTCGTTGCAGGAAGTGGCGATCCGGAAGACACGTTGTTGAAAATTGAAGTAATCGTTTCAGTTCCATTCACGGTTGCTTTTTGTATAATCTACCGATATATGAGCAAATTTTTTTGCGTTGACTCGATTAATTCCGAACGGTTTGAAAAGCGTATTCAATCCTATAAAGTAGCTAACAATCGAGCTATAATTTACCTTGCTCACTGTTGAAAGCTGTTGTGCTCCATTCTCATCTATGTAATCGCTTGTCATCTCAATATCGTTTGCTTTCTCATCCACATTACCATTTGCCTTGCTAACTGACCCGTCCCTGTGATCATAGCATTCTATCAAACGAACAAACAATGCCAGAAAACAGAGGTAGTCGTAAGGATTTAGATTTGGGTGCATATGTGACCATTGAACTAATAAATTTTTTTTTTTGAATCTTACCGATTTTATTGCCGACGATTTTATTTGTGATGCTATTATTTGTGGCATTTTTGTTGTTGTTATTGTTATTATTGTTATTGTTGTTGTTGTTATTATTATTAATGTGGTTGTTATTTGTCACATCGAAGCCCAATTCGTATATGTTTATCATGTGTGCAGCCTGCACGTGCACCATCAGATCCCATGGACTAATAAAATAGTCTTTGCAAAGCGCACACAACAGCTTCGTTGATGACGACAATGTCGATTCTGAAATGAACGATTTTCCAACGTTTCTTTTTTATTGAATCTATTTCATTTGATGGACGATTTTGTGAACTCACTTTGAAAATTTTCTTGGCATTTGCAAGTAAATCTTAGTTTGCAATAGGACCGCTTGTGTTCTATTAAATCGGACAAATCCGAAAAATACTCTCGACAATTTCCGCAAATCAATGTGTCTGGGTTACCTAGTAGAACAAATCGACAAAATGGTCTTGAATAAGTTAGCGAAGCTAAATTTTATGAAGCTTCCATTTGTATTTATTGTAAGCTATCGGTTTGGGCTCCAATTATCGGTGAAAGTGGAAAAGATAGGAAGAGTAACGCAACTAAATGCACTGTTCCAAGAATGAGGACAAGAATATAAACAAAACATGAAACTATAACTGTGATCACAGATGCAATCCAAATGAATCCATTTGAAAACAAAAATAATAATATGAAACTAGCTCTGAATCAACAGCCGGGGAAAAAAGTAGTGAGCAAATAGAAAAGTTTAAACGAGTTTTATAAAATATATCGCAAAATTTTAAGCCAATGGAACACATTTACATTGGGGTTCCCTTGCTCTCTCGAAATGTAAATCGTAAATGTAAGGGGCTTTGTAAATATAAATTAAATAAATACACATGGTTACGGAACTGCTATTGGCCAAAGAACACAACCATAAAAGGAAATTTCAACGGATAACAAAGCAAATTGAGACAAAGAACAGTTCCTTGCTGATGCGAACAGAAAAGTGTGCAGTGCTCAAAGCAGCTTTCTCTCTCTCTTTCTCTCTTCCTTGCACACATACATACACACATACTTTCTCTACAAAACGAAATGAAACGAATTCAAAGAACTGAGAAAAAGTACGAACAGAACGTAAATACTATTTCGGTTTCACTTACTATAAACTTTAAATGGTCCTAGAAAATTCGGCTGTCCATTTATGTGATACACTGTTGAAATTTGCTCGCCAATACTTGAAGTGGTGATGCCACTAACATTGCCATTACCGTTACTGCCACCGTTGAGTGCGGCTGGTACAGCTGATACAACGCTATTATTTTGTAAACTATTTCCGTTTAATATCGGACTTGTTGGTAAAATTATTTGTTGTTGCGGTAGATTCACTTTATTATTAACAACTAAATTTCCTCGGGCTTGTGGTGTCATTAATCTTTGACGTTTTATTGGTCGTGGAGATGTTGTCGAAAACAATGTTGAGGCACAATAGCTGCAGCGAGCGAATATATGGGAATGAGAAATAAACATGTGGAATTGAATGAAAGATCCGAAACACAAACATAAGTGTACAAAATCGTAGCAGAGAATTGTGACACGACACTGGATATGGTACAGCAACATTGGCAGCCAGTAGCAACAAGCACACATATTCAAATGTGCATGTATGCAGCGACGAGTGCGAATGCATGTAGTTGTGGCCAAAGCAGAAAAACGCAAAAAAAAATGCGAAGTGATGAGACAGACAAAAGTCCAGCGCCAAACATGAAAACCATTCCCCCAAAAAACAAACTGATATTATGCATTTTGGGTTCACCGTTCACTGCTCGTCTATGTATCGAGATTGGCCATTTGAACTGTTACGCTCCTACTGCACTTGAACTAACCATTCACATGAACTAATACAAACTGATGTGTGAACACACCACATAAATGCAATATAATTTTGCTTTAAAGGCAACTCTTTTTTGTCGGCATTAGTTTAGAAGCACTTCTATCCTCTCGTCTTAATTAACCGTTCTTTATTTGGACATATTCTGTTCAATGCTTTGGCCCCATTTCATTTTGTTTATGAATTTCGTTCCCAAATTTTACAATAAAATCCAACAAAATTTGAGAACCGAAATTGGGAACAGTCAACAATTTGTTGGCGCTATTTGGCAAATATGCATTGCCATTTGCGGTGAACATCTGTCTGCTGAGCTATGTCTGACTCAAAAATAACGAAAGCGAAGACATTCAGGGTGCAATTTGTAGCGTGAATGGATGTATGTATATATTCATTGCATTCGGCAGGCAACTAAAGAAACACCTGAATTGAACTGACTGAATTGTCATGGTTAAGTTTACGTTTGTTTCTTTTGCATTTTTCGCCATAAATGCACGCCATATGGAAACACACATACGAAACATGTTACAGCAAATTCGATTGAAGAGAGAAAACGAATAGCGAACCATTCTACGCCGCGAAAATCAATCAATTGGACAGATAATGGTGAAGTGGTGTGCGAAACGTGTAGTGCAACACGTCGTTTTTGAATCATCTGTCGGCTGGCATTAAAATGGAAAAACGCGATTGATAGCATTATCATAAGCATATTGTCACACCCTCGTGCGAGGTGTCTCCATTTGATTGAATCGGTTTCGCCTGGTACTTCATTCAAAAATATCCGACCCGCTACAGGACGACACACATACGCACGCACGTTCACACACCAAATGAATTTTAATTCATGTCATTGAATGTGATACCTCAGTGAGCATACGTCAGAGATAAATTCACATTCATATTTATGTCCTCATCACTTTAAATTGCGAAAATCAAAATTGTACACATAATAAATTTTGATGTGGAATGTTCGTGTGTCTGTGTGAGCTTATGCGACACGCAGCGATTTCATATCAATCCAGCTAACAGATTGTCTATTTCTGGCATCATTTTTTTTTTTTAATTTTTGCTCCCTCGATTCATATGGACTCTTCATGCGTCGAGCGAGTTTTGAGAATAATTTTTTTCCATTTGTTTATTAATATTTAAATGGAAAATGGTTTTAAATCTACAAGCGCTCATGAATAATTGTATTAAAATCAAATTACATCAAGTTAATCTGTGAAAATGCCACAAAATTGACAACGACTAATACTATTACAGTTTTTTTTTGTCGCAGTTAAAAAAACGCATTCTTTGTCTATATTTTGGTCGGCTGTTGTGTTTCTATCACACAGTGTGATTTCTTCTTCGTGACTTCATACCTTGCGTCGAAAAATGGTCACACTAATTTTGCAATCGACAAAAATTGCATATGCTTGTCGATGCGTGAGTTTGTAATTGAAATGTCGATCTCTACTGTCTGCAATATTTTGTACACACTTTATGCTGTTGCCGCGATGGTTGGGTACGAATGAATGAGTTTTTCTTCAACTTACCTGTCATAATAATAATCCCAATCATTTCCAGTTTTGGTGACATTCTGTCGCTTTCGGCCAATTTGATGTGGCTTTGGTTCCGCTACCATATTCACATCTGTAAGTATCGAAAATACAAAATAATGAATTCGATGCTTGAAAATTTGCAAATATATTTGGTCGTTTCGCGAATTCAACAAAATCACTGTCGCATGCATACACATTCTGACACCAAAAAATTCAGGGGGGGTCAAAAAAATCAATTCTATCTAGTGTAAATTTCTTCCCGAAAAAAATTGCTGACCGGGGGGGGGGGGGGTGATCCGCAATTTCGAATTTGAAGAGCAAAAAAACAAAAAGGTCCTCGCTTTCAAAAATCGATTCTATCTAGTGTAAAACCGGTATCCAGAAAAAAGTGAGGACTAAAAAAAAAAAAAGGTCCTCACTTTCGAAAATCGATTCTATCTAGTGTAAAACCGCTATCCAGAAAAAAGTGAGGACTAAAACAACAAAAAAGGTCCGAAAATGGCAACGGGTCCAAAAAAATCGTTGGGGGTCAAATTTTGCCAGGGGGGGTCAGGATCAACGAGATCAGACTATGTCAGAACCTATGGTCGCATGGAGTCATTTTCATCAATAATCGCTGTGGGATTCAAAACCTTGGCACGTCTCTGACAATTGTGGTGTCCGGAAAATTTGTTTACATTTCGCGCTCTCAGTTGAGTTAGGTTGTTAAACTATTCAATATTTCAATATATTTTTCAGTGGCTTCTTTGCCTTGCCAATGAAAAGCCAAATAACTGCTGTGTCCGTTATTGTTATTTGTAAATATCCCAGTTTATTTAAGCGCATCGCGCATATTGTTCTTATGAAGAAATTGCTTATAAACCATTTCCTTCTTCGAAAACAAACTTTTCTATCGGAATACATTAGTGCAAAGGTAGACAATTAGACTAATAATCAGAACTAAAATGACATTTAACATGTTTCGAAATCAAAATACATATCGGAATATGCTCAATTAATAGCAGTCACGGGATAGTATATTCCTAGGTATATTCGTATACTAAAGTGATTCTACGACTCTAAGTATCCAAACCCACTCACTAGGCTAGAAGTGTTTACTTCCTCTTCATTCAATGTTGCACATCAAATCAAAAAAAAAAAAAAACATTTGTGTGTTTATAATGAACAACATTGCTTCTTCTAACTTTTCAAATGGCGAGAAATAACAAAATGTGCATAAATATTTATTTGCAATAAAAAAGGATTAATTTGCAGTTACGTACTGGTACGAATCGGATACTCATTTAGATTGGGTATGGTCTTGAATGAAGCAAGGAACGATCGTGGTATACAAAACAGAAAAAAAAAACAATAAAACAACTTCGAGCAAAACAATTTTTTGCTGCTGCATAGTGCCCTCAAAATATGTGAACTTTATAAAGTTTTTTTTCTTCACCATAACAATTATCGGTTGAAAATTTATCAAGCATGACGTTGACGCCAACGAACGAAAAAAAAAAATTTTTTGTACATACATAGTTAAACAATTTTCGATGATTTTTTTTTTCTTTCGGCTTTTCTACACTGCAAAATGCTACAATATTTCATTTTCAGATTTCTTTTGCCTTTTGTTAAACGCATTATTGTTCACCCCACTCAGTTTGTCTCACCGTCTCACTTTGTGTGTTGATCTCATTCTATTAGTATGCTTTGAAATTATTTTTGTGTTTCATCAGTTGGTTTGAAATTATAATTATTGTTTTTTTTTTTTTTTGGAAAAGGTATGAACAGGAACACAACGTAATGAAATGAAATAAAAGAATGGGTTGAAGGTAAGAAATAATTGTGTAGAGTCGTGAATAAGAGCCGGTGCACAATCGAGACAAAATGTGCATATACACATATAGCAAATGGTTTGAAGCGAGCAACGAAAACGGTGTAATGAAGTTTTTCGAAGTTTTTCCTTTCTCGTGCACGAATTTTATTGCCTGCAATGCAACGGCAATGTACGAAGGGCGTACAACGGTTAAATACGATTGTCATTAAACGAATATGGTATACTTGTCGGAAATTCTATACATTTCTTTCATTTCGTTTCGTTAACTTGGGCTTCGGTTTCGACATGTTCCTTTCGGGCCATTTCAGATTTTAAGACGTACAGCCGACATACACACACACACACACAAAACACAAACAAGCATTATAAGTACGATGGCGAATGTCTGGCGGATGTAGAAAGTGTAGAAGGAATATAGGAGATATTTTGTGGGGGGGGGGGTTGCTAACGGATGGCTCATTTGTTATACAAGTGCGAAGCTAAAAGTGTCGCTTTGTCGAGATAAGATACACCAACGGACTAGACAAAAATGACAAAAGTCAACAGATTCAAGGAACGCGAACACGTTGCCACAAAAGGAACGTATTTCCGAATGACAACACCGATTCATTGCTTGTAAAACTGTGCCTTTTATGCCAAAATTCATTCGCCGTTTGATCGCTTTCAATCAACTGGATTTGTTGTTCGTTCACTTGAGTTCACCACTTTTTTTTCTTGTTATTCACACAAACCGTTGTCACAAAAGACCGTTGTACGGTTGATAATGGCGAACACCGGAAATGTATAGCTTTTATGTTAAATGCAATCGTCTTGAAATATTAAAACAAACGATGCCAAAATTGTATTTCGTCAATTTTAATCCCGATTCTTTTTTTCGTCTATGAAAAACAGAAGGCTTGCTTTGCATATTGTCCTATTAGAACACTTGAACGAAAACTTGAAATTGTACCAAAGAGCCTGTTGGTTTATTGTTGTGCAATGTGCAATGTGTCACGGTGTAAATAATTAAATTCTTTCATTAGACCAGGTATATTCTTCACGAAATTATTTCAAAATGGATTTTATTTGGCACTTGAGCTGTTATCGCTATAGTTGACAACACTTTTAAATGTTTCATTAACATTCACGAGTTTTGCGGTGGAAAATGCTAAAATTGTCTCGTAAAATGCGAGCCTCGTGAATTTAATACGATGCTGATTTTTCCGACTGAATCGCGTGTGGATCAAATTTAAAACAATGGAATCTCAAAAGATGTGAATTACTCAACATCGAGTTCATATTTCAATTTCAAACCAGCAAGCATAATGGCTGAAATGCACAATGCACATTCCCAATGGCAAAATGATTGTTGGTGTTGTAACGGTCCCCCTCTTGTTTCTACCGACGGCACTGCTGCTGCTCCTGATGCTGAGCATTTTTTCATCCATATTTTCCGTCTCATTTTGCATATGTTTTTTTTTTCTTCATTTATTTGCGCTCTCCACCGCAATTGCAATAAGTGACAACGAGTATAAGTGTAGATTCTTGTACTTGATGTGTGATTACGATGATAAAAGATACCGATGACAACTCGTAAAAAACTATACACTCACCTAACACTTGACTAAGAATCGTTCTGCCATCTTCTCCGTGACAAGCGTTGCGGGCATCAAACGGATTTGTAAACTGAACGAACGCGTATCCTTTGTGCATCGAAATTCCTGTTGGCAAATTAAAAGATAGGAAAAAAATGTCTTTTATTTAGTATCTGTAATATTTAGTTCAAATGCAAATGATGTAATGATGTATCCTCATGTTAGTATAAAGTGCATGTTCTCTCACTCCCCTATTCCGTTATTCTAATTGTCATTTGTTCATTTTCAAGGAGAAATCTAGCTAGATGTAGTCATTAGGCAATATGTATGCATCAATCTAACGGTCTGTGTGATATTCATCGACGGCAACAAATGAAAAAAAAAACGCATGCTTATGTGGAAATATATTATTAGTAATTTGAAATAGAGAGAGAAAGAGAGAATGCTCGGTGACGATGACGTTAATTGCAATTGTAATGTGTGGCCCAACAATACGTTAAGAAACTTTTAGAAAATGCACAAAAATCAAACGATTTGAAAAAATATAGTTTATATAGTCATTGTCACAACTCATTTACGCCGATTAAAAGGGGCTACTAACACGTGACGATACATCCCGATGTGCCGCTATGTAGCATACCGAATTCAAGACCAAAAATACAGCCACGGAAGTAGCAAATGTGGATAATGGCCAGCAGTTGGATGTCGATAGAGAAACTGAAGGGGGAGGGAGAGAAAGAGCAAGTGATCGGGAGAGAGAGAGAGAGAGAGAGAGACAGTGAAAATTTGAAATAATTGAGCAATACGTCAACATAAATTCGCATGTAGTAAAAATACGATGGCATTAATCCCTGCAACGGAATTCATCGTGCGATTGTGTGCCATATGTATGTGTGGATATTCATTGCATCATAAATGTTTAAATAATTTATCAGCACCGTAACGACTAGTAAGACTCTAATTTCGATAAATAAAAGTTCATACTGTGCACCATGCGCTCTGCAATGTGCATTCACCATATCAATGGACCTATGCTATTGTTTGAGCTGAACAGCGATTGAGCAATTGCACGGTAGTTGCTGTGTGTTCTGCTTTTTTTTGCCTCATCACGCATTGAAATGCTCACTGGACATTGGATCAATGCATTACGTCTGTATTCAAAACGATGAAATAATCATTGACATCGATTTGAGTTACTATACCATTTAATTTTTCAGTGTAGTCGAAGCACATGACAATTTCATGTCGATTGAGATCGCGGAAATAAAATCAATTTCTATTTGTCAGAATCATCCATTTCTGTGTCAATTTTTTTTCTTCTTGAAAACCGCTCTCGAAAGGACATTCTTTGTAATGTGAAATTTAATCGATCCGTATTATTTGCGATACGGAGAAGACGATTCAATCGACACAATTCAAAACCGAATGACATTAAAAGTATTCTTCGAAATTCTTTGTAGAATGAGCGAAAAAAGAACATTGGAATTTTACAGCATCCATTAAGGTTTACTTTATGTGGAATATTTCCCGGGTGAACGCGATACGCTTTGATGAAAGCCTACAGTCGTTCGATGAGGCTTTCATAATTTTTATATACATTTTAAATACTGAACGCCTGGGATTTCATTGCTATTCTCACTTCTTTCGTGCATTCGTAGCATTGAAAGCCTAGCGTGAAACATACACACGTACAACTGAACGCCTAGGGTTGCTTCTTTCTTAAAATACAGATGTGATGGAAATAAACTTGTGAAATAATTACCTGCTAAACGACCGTATTTTTGAAACATTCGTTCGACATCTGTTTTCGAACATTGAAAAGTATTTAAATTCCCAACAAATACTCTTGAATTCACTGCTTGAGGATCTTGTGAATTCGTCTGATTAGATAATTTTGACATTTTCATTTTGGACTGGCTTTTGTAGCAGTATTCACTGCTTCCAATTCAAATCGATCGCTCTTAACAGGATGGTCCTGCCGAAGTTCGGTTTATCACGGGTGCTCCGTTTTCAATTCAATTGATTGAAAATGAAGTAATTTCACTTATCCGTCGTTTTCCTACTAAGCTTCTGTCACAATCTAAGCTGATTTCCACTTGAACTGAAGAAGATTACCTGAAAAATATGAATAAAATAACAAAATGAAATATTGTAGTCACAGTGCGCCCAGTGAATTTGTACAAAATGCTTTAACATAGAAATAAACTTGTTTTTTTTTTTCTAAATTGTACATATTCAACTTTTTTTCTTCTCCTCATTCTTGTCATATATTGCAACGACCATATTTTACACTCCTTTTCCACGTCAGTATTTCCATATTTTTCTTCGCTCTTCCTTCAAAATAAATTTTAAAAACAATTATTCCGACTGACATTTGAACATTTTAGAATGTATATTTCATTAACAAATTGAAATCGTTACGTGTATGAATCATAACGGCATTGCACGCCTTCACTTTCTGGCCATATTGGATAGCCAAGTGAAATTATAATTGCATGTATTTTGAAATTATATAGTTTATGATTGTTCAGAAGCCAAGAATATTTGAAAAATCGGACGAAGAAAAACACCTTTGCACAGGGTGTAGCTCTTCCCTCATTGATCGTATGTTACAAAATTATAATTTTTTGGAGCAATCATAGTCAAAAGTATATATCATATTCATTTTCTGTGATGAATGAAAAATCACTTGAGGAAATTTTGTAGACGATGCGCCCTATGAAAGTGAATGTCTAAAACAACTGATACTATTTTTAGTGCAGTTACGCGATGTATTCAAATACATTTTTGAGCGCTTCCCACGACCGTATTAAATGTATCATCATCATCATCATCATCATAAAATGTGAAATCATTTCAACGAGGACAGAATTAAATTCAATGGTATTGTATTCACACGCCAATGATGAATCATACACTACAATCAGATGTGTCTCTAAATTTTCGATTGAACTATTATTTATGGCCTTTGAATTTCTTGAATACAAAAAAAAAACCTAATTTCGAATTGACCGCATTCAAATCACACATACACTCTTTTTTTTATTGCCGGATAAAAATCAATATATTTTGCTCATTTTCGGTCGAAATGCAGACATAAAAATTGGCTAAAAAGCTTTTCTTTGTTTGGCTATTGTTTGCACGGATGATGCACCGGGTCGTACAACATTTATACGTTCATATCGATGAAAACGTCAAACAAATTGGGAATGCAAACGAAACGAGAAAAACATGTACGAATATAATGGATGCATCGTGTATTGATGTTGCTTTTTTTCGGCAGCATTATCGTCGGTGGAACAATGTGCACAATGTATTTACATACAACCATACGTACAATTTCGATACAAATGTACGGTAACTATGGATGGAAATTTATTCGTAAACGTTATGCGTTAATATGTTTATTCGAAGCATTGTCGATAGAAAACCGAATCAATTTTCAAGTACGAATCGTGTGTATTGATTGCATAATGGACCTGTTATAGCATCAGTAGACTCTCATCGTTGCTCGTCGTTCTCATCGTCTTCGATGGAATCCGTTTAATAGGCGAACATGTGCATTTTTCGAGCATCAAACTAATCAAAACAGATCGTTCGATTTCTTTGAAGTTTCTCTAAATATTTGGTCGTAATTTTGTGATGTGATCTGAATGCTACACACTCTTTGATTTTCAGTAATGAGGTGCTACGAAATGGTATTAAATTCAATGATGTTATCACTAGGCAATAATACAAACGCTGGCTGGTGTGTGTGTGTGTGTTTTTTTGTTGTTGTTCAAACTGGATCATCGAATTATGTATGTTATGTATTTCATTGTTTATGCATTAGTATAAGATTTCCGGTTTGAATGTTTTGAATCAAAAGTAAAAGTAATCTCCTGTTTTATTTCGTTTATTTTATTTTCCTTTAATTTTCGAAATAGAACCAGACAAAAGTCGGGATTGGTAGCAAATTGATACTAGCACTGAAAAAAGCCAAGCAGAGCTCAGAGAGAGGTTTTATTTCTGCCCAAAACTTTGTGAACATCCATCGATTCGTATCATCATACAATTGCCATGATCGTATTTACCGATTGGTAATAATTTTTCGTTCCCCCATTTCAAATGCAATAATTCGTGTGAAAATCAATCTAGTCTTCAATAGTGAGCAGTGATTTTTGAAAAGAGAGTGCTGTATGAGAATGACTTGGAGTGCGAGCATTGGCAGTGAATCATTTAATTACGGCTGGAACTATTTGAAAAATTTCATTTTGAAGAACCATCATTCCAAAGCATGTGTATGCATTAGGTCCTGTGACATACGTGCACAAGTCTAGAATGAGGCAATCTTGTGTCGTCCAAGTGTAGCCGAGTAGCAGTGTCTCAGTTCATCATAAATCTAATTCAGTTCCACAAATTAATTCGATTAGCATCAGTCAGACGTTTAAACGACGCTTCGCCAACCGCCTTGAAGTATTATCTCTTAAATGTTGCGGCTTTGTCTACAATACTTCATTGGATTTTCCTTCATTGTTCTGCCACTTGTCACATTGGCAATATTGGTAAAACGGCATCTCCATCCATTTTGTCCCTTTTCGTCCCGTTGTTTTATATCTATTTCGTACATTGGCTGATTTCGAGCATGTGAATGGACTCATGTTGTTGTGCACAATGTTTTCCATTGATTTGTAATTAGTGTTGCATTTAATTCAATTACTAACACCCATTGCGAAGTGTTTGCTAAATTGCTATGCATTGATAGTGATATTGGTATTAAGCGACTTGTTTATCGCATAAACACTTTTGAGTGTTCATTTAGTGTTGTGAACGTTTTGCAATAAAGAATGTTTGCCACCATGATGTGTCACCAATGTCTACAAAATTACTTCATTAGTATTGGACGTGTGAATTCATTTAAAACTCTAAATATAAATTGTCCTTCGGGATAAATGGAAAAACAAAGAGTTTTTTTAGATGGAAAAATTGAGATTATAAACCGAACAGTGCGTATTCGTTTCAAGCCTGACTATTTAGGTGAAAAATCTCGGTTGGCTTATGATTTACATCACGCCATGGAAAGTAATGCTCGGTTAAGCTGATTGATTTTCTATGTTTGTTATGTGAATTTGAAAATCTTCAGCAATCAGGAGTAGAAATCAATAAACAATAAATCTTGAAGATTGTTATCTCATGAGAATTGGCTATATTTTGCAACAAATGTGTAGAACAATAGTTCATATAGATGTTTGAAATATATTCTGTGAATTTCATAGTTGTGGAAAATCATATATTTCAACTAGAATAGACTCTCGGTTGAATCGAAGTCATGTCCCATTTATTCCTTTGAATTTCAGCATAAGATCGAATTTCCAGCCGTACCATCATTTAAAAGCTTTTCGTATTAATCTTTTAAATGGTTTCGGTTAGAGTGGTGAAATAAAAAGTCTCTTACTTTCAGTTACTGATAATGGAGATGTCGATTTTCGCGGAAAAAAAAAATGCCGGAATCATTGACCAAACATTCGTAAATGCGTTTGGAGCCCGCAAAAAGGAAACCGCATCCGATTCCCGTTTCGTTTGTAACACATAATTACAACACCAAATTAAAGTTAATGCGATAATAATTGCATATATCAGAAAAGCATTAAAATGTCTGCGTCTATGGTATAGTGTTTAAGCGACGAATGTGATTGTGGTTTCGTTGATGAAATTGTTGCGGGTGCTAGTCGCTACTTTGGTTCGAGTTTCACGATAGTTTCTTCTTTTTCGTTTTTACTTTGCGCACCCGCTTCACATGAGATTGCGATTATTTTGTGTTTTGCCATTGGAAAAAAACGTTATAAAAGTTTATGATTTTTCTATTTTTAATGTTTAAACACAAAATGGTATGGCCAATATTAGTTGAATACGCTAAATGTAACAAAAGTAGTGAAACGAAATGTTCCTTCTACTCGTTTTTTTTAAATGCCGTCGCAAAAAGATTAAACTGTTAAAATCTATTCCAGTCTATAGAGTGAATGTGTGTATCGGTAGTCGGTCTTTGGAGTTGAAAAACTTTTCCATTTCCTTATCTGAAGAGCACAATCGTTCTGCAGGACGAGAAAAGAAAATATGCCTTTATGATATCCTTATGTACGATACACAGTTTAGTGGTTGCTGAGCTTTTAAATGGATTTTCTCTTCCCGCCATCGCCTCGTATGCAGGCACATTATGGATACGTGTATGTGCAATTGTGCCATTGTTGGGGCAGTAAGCACACTTTTTCAGATTGCATCGTCTCACATTTGGATTTTTATAGAACATCAGCACCAACTTAATGAAAGCACTCCATATGATTTCGTTCCGTGCTGTGCACGTCATGTGTATGTATATATGGTGCATTGTTTGTACCTTGCCGGCAATAAAAAGCGTAAATTCAATTTCCGCTTCAAGATTTTATATGCGAAATTAGATGTTAATTTGTAATGTAGGAAATTTAATAAAGTACCATCCAATTTTAAAGTGAAATTGAAGAAGAAAACGATGATCGTTAAAACCCACAAGAAACGATATACGGCTGGCGGACTCAACGGAAATATCTAAGATGTTGTGAACATTTTACACTCATTACGTGTTCGTACTTGAACAATTCGAGCAAATTCAATTCGTTTTCTCTTTCGTTTTCATTTTACTCCGTTGATGATTCCGTCGAACTCAAATCAGACTTACATACGAATGTACAAGTACAATTATTATCGATCTGTTTTATGAAAATTCATCATTTATTAATCTCGATATAATAATCTGTAGAGCCAATGGAATGAGACGAATGTAAATAAGTTTTGCAATTCGATGTGTGTACAAGTTCACAGTTTAGCGCTCAGTTAACAAATAAATAAGCATAAGTATCATTTAAAATTCGTACCTCAAGAATTTCGGTTTCTTTTAGGGGAACGTTTGGGATTTACGGATTATCATGTGTAAGCTATCAAAAACAATATTTTTACATGTAGATTTTGCGTTCTTTATTTTTTGTTTGCTGTTGTTCACAAATGTCATACGATTATTTCGTAACACAATATGAAAAGAAACACAATTTAAGCAACTTTTCGGTTCATTGTAATGGTTTTCAGAAGAAAAAAAACGGAAACTT